GATAAGTGCTAGAGCACAGACTATGTGTAAGTGCAAGGGCACTAGATAGATATAAGACGCGTTCGCCGGAGGAGCCTAGCGATATAAGTAGCTGAGGATCTGTGATCCGTCATTCGAGAGACAGGAGTTCTAACTATACGACCAAGTGGGTCGAGAGACAACAAGGACTATTTCAACTGGGGACTTGTATCTAGAGGATTAAAGAACTTGGGGATACCACTAGACATTAGAATTTAACTCACAGCCTACAAATGATTACCTAAAACCTTGAGCCGTAACGCTAAAGGACTCTATCTAGAATAACTAGATGACTCCTCCGGTTGAAAGAAGTAATAAAGGAAACAAATACATAAGTGAAGTACAAACGAAATATATGGACATCCGTCACGAAAAGGACGCTGAGGCATCACGACATCGATGTACAAGCTATTGACACGCATTTTTCACAGGCTAGGAGAAGCTTTTGATGTGCTTCGACAAAACGCAAGCAGACTGTTAGAGGTTTTGCGGGTTGCAGATAAGATCTACGAACTACTAGCACACGTCAACAGTGACACAGCCGAGACCGTGGATAGGGCACGGGAAGTGCGAGAGGACACTTCGAAAATCTCGAGACATCAGAACGAACTAGCAGCACTTTTGCAAGGAGAACTAAGAGCACTAAGACAAGAGGTACATCTACTACGTCTACAAGTTACACCCCCCGAAGTAGTACTAGAAGATCAACAAACGGCATTGCTCGTGCAACGACCTCCCATCGATCTTGAGTTAGGTTTACAACAAGCGGATACGATTTTTTGGGAATTTGAGAATTTCCGTCACGCTGCGACACCTTTATCACTATCACCACGCAGTCCAGCGTCCACCTGATATCATTCGCACGAGCGTACTAACAGGATGAATAATAATAATAATAATAACCCCTATCAACAGTCACCAGGCACCATGGATTACAGTAGTCTACCAACGGGCATCAATCCGCCACCTCCACCTAAAGGCAAAGGGATGCAAAACTACCCGAATGTGCATCCACCACCTAGACCCCCGATGGCATCTGCGTCCACGAATGTGTTGCAGTTCACTCCTGCACGTAACGAACAAGCGAGGAGGATCGACATGTTTACACCGGTCGTGCATGGCCAAGGGTCACTTGACAGGCGTACATCACATCAACCGACATCAATACCACCCTTGCAGAGTGGAGCGAACACAGGAAACGAAGGTCCACAGCAACCACCAGCATGGTTGTGGAAAACTGGAGATTATTTCTTTCGGCAAGATCAACCACTAGGAATCCCCTCTGGTATTCTACTGCGTAGCGTCTATCTCAAGCGCATTGGCTCTACACGCATCTTTGCGGTCGAAACCTTGGAGGATCATCAAGATTTCACTCTGCACTACGAACAACGACCACAAGGAGCTGAGACCACACAACTTTTCATCTACTTCCAACTGGTCTTGTATGATGTCGATCACTTTGAGTGCAACTTTGCACACAAGTTTAGAGAACCAAGAGGTGTGGGCGTCGAGGCGAAGGACTTAGTAGCAGAATTGTCTAGCTACGAATTTCACCACCTCGAGACAGCAGCGATAACTAGTGGCGTACAAGGATCTCCACAAATACAACTTGGACAGATCCCAGACCCTCGATTGTCAACATCCAGTACCCATTCTGCTCCAGCAGTTGTGGTTTCGAACAGGTTACAAGATGAGGCAGCACTGGCAAAGAAAGTTGATCTGTTCAAGAAGGAAATGCAAGGAAACATCGACTTGTCCAATCCGTCTGAGTACGACAAGATGTTATCGAAGCTTCTCAACAGGTTTGCGGACGCCAAAATCGAGACGTACGGGGAGAAGCTTCGCGCATTGAAAGCGGTCGCTGTAGGTGCCACCGAGACCCAACTACGACAGTACACGTTACATCATCCAGAGATTAGAAGTCTCGACCTCGACGAAGCACAAGCGAAAGAACTTTGGCGAAACCTAGTAGATCGGGTTCTTCCTTCGGCGTTTGGAGTCACAACAACTGGCCGTTTTCAGGATCCCCTTGGCCAGTACCGCATACTACGATGCGCCAACGTCGAAGATTTTGAAATTTTCTATCAAAAATGGACCGATCTGCGTCTTGACGTGCTAGAAAAGGAGAAACGAGAAGAACGAACCGAATCCGATTTAGGCTCTGGAAGAAGGTCGCTTCAGGACTTCCTTGATAAACTACCGAAGGTGTTGCGAGACCACGTTTCATCGCAGCAGGTCTCATGTGAACAAGTAGATCCACCACTCTACACTGTCGAGGAACTGAAACAAAATCCGTTGTTGGATCGCAGCGCGGTTAGTGCATGTCGACGCTATATTGCAACTAATGGCGTCAAGGTCAACAGACCCCAACAAGCGACGAAGAGGGATCCAGTAGCTTCCATCATGGCCTACGACCAATCTTTTCAGCAACATGATCCGGTAGCGGCAATTTCGTCTTCCTCTCCTCCACTGTGGTGTCACAGATGCAATGGCTATGGACATTTGCAGATCAACTGTCCCAATCAGGTGGTGTCGAAGGAGGACGCTGAATCCATGCTGCATAACGGGCTCACGTGCAACTTCTGGATCTCAGATCTTGGATGTTATTGTAACGGTCGGGGTCATCTTGCGAAACATCATGCTGAATTCAAGAAGAAGCAACAACCACAACTGGGATCAAAAGGAAAATCCAAATCAAAAGGAGGCTTTAGCTCGAAAGGTAGTAGTGGTTACAAAGGCAAGAAGGGGACATCATCATCTTTCTCCACGAAAGGGAAGAAACACGGCGCTAATACTGGTGGGTTTGGATATCCGAAAGGCAAGAAAGGCCAACAAGTTGCGGGGATATCAGCGGAGGAAGTCACAGCGCCTTACGATCCATTTACGGAAACAGGCGATTCTGGCTGGTGGGAGCCTCCCTGGGTTGACGACGATACGCATTATTTTGCGGCTATCACGGATTATGACGATTGGGGCAATGCTGTCTACAGCGAGCATGTGGCTCCTGATGCTTTTTCCTGGGGCTACGATACGTGGAATGATTACTCATGGATGAATGCCGAGAATCACACGGCTGCGATTTCCGAACAGTTAGCATCCACCCCAGCAGATCACAAAGTCACTACGAGTACAACTGTGCAACCACAGCCAGAACAAACTACAACGCCGGCAGCTCCACCCGTCGGCGCTATCCAAGGTCCCTCGGATGAAGAGGTCCTTCAGCAGTTTTACTCAGATGGTGCAGCAGTGTTTGCTGCAGTCGTCGAACCGGATCAGCAAGAGGATGAATACCAGCGAGAGCTACTTGCTCAATTTTACCGTGACAACGAACAGGAGCAACAACGGGTAGCAGCAGTTCCGGATGCACTCATTGAGGACAACCAATTTCTGCACTACTCCAAACAACAGATCGAGGATGAACTATTAGATCAACCACCACAAGAGGTCTTCCCTTCACTGTGTGCAGGAAGATTTTCCGATTTGAGGTGTCCCTTGGACCCATTTCATCCTCCAGGCGTTGTTGCGGCAAATCCGGAACACAAAGCGGATAACCACGAAGGAGACGACTACACCTTTGTGCCTCACGCGACGTACCGTGCGAATTATCGGGTATGCGGCATCACTATACCAGGTCACCCGGATCCAGGATCAGCGAAGAATCTGATTAAGTCATCGTTTTACGAAGCGATCAAATCCAAGGACGCCAGCAAGATCGACTGCGAGTGGGACGTCAGCGTTCCATTGATGTCTTTTGCGAAGGACTCCAAAACGGTCGACAAAGCAATCATACTTACCTTCGACGCTGTTGCGGATTGCGGGCGATTCATCACACTAAGATTAGTCTTTCTGGTATTCAAGTTCCTCTTCTGCTTATTGCTCATTGGCTGGCCGTCACTGGGAGCTGTCAGGTGGTCACCCTTTTACATCCCCGACGAGACAGGATCCTGGCGGCACGCCGGTACTCACTACGGAGTCCGCGACCTTTACTGCTCGCATGAGCAGCGTCCCGAACAAAGACATGAGGTTACGGCGGACGATCTTACAGTCTGGGCAAGACGTTTTGAGACGGAAGATTTACCGATTGGAGCTATCGCTGATCCACAGTCATACAGGAAAAGGGCGAAAGCGAAGTATGAAGGGGATTGGCCAGCACTGCGAGCGGCTATCGAAGCAAAGGATCAAGAGCGTGCGCATGCTCGTAACGGACGACTAGACCAACGGTCGGATGAGTACAAACAACGTCTTAGACAACACATAGACGCGAACTACACTACGCTGTCATCACGGGTCCGCGAACATCTACAACGCACAATAGCGCAGTTCTCCGATCTTTGCTGGCTGCCAGGCCAACCTCTTCGACTTGTGGATTTCCCTCCGTTGACAGTCGAACTCGATGAAAAGAAGGTCAACAGCACGAAAGGTCTTTTTGGGCCTGAATTCGACTTGGACGAGTGGGATAAGACGATCTTGGCTGCGCACATTCGTTGGTTTAAGGAAGATGGTCACCTGTACACAAGGCAAGCTCGTAGTCGGTTCCGAGCACCTGCCTTCGTGCACTACAACGAAGCGAAAGGGATTTTAGCGAGGCCCATCTTCTCGTACGTTAAAGCCAACAGTGTCCTGGTGAAACGTCAGTGGAGTCAGGCGAATACTGAACACATGCTGAGGAATGCAGCAAAAAGTCTGGTGCATTCAATGATCGATTTTCCGAGCGGTTTTCATGGGATGGAATTGGACGACCTTGCGCAGGAAGTGTACACGATTGGTTTTAACCGCGAACTACTGTCTCCAACGGTCGCGGGGTTTGGCGCCGCGACGTTTCCGTGGGAATTCCAACAACGTGTAGATCTCACAATGCAGGAGGATAGGAAATCGAAGGCGTACTTGGATGACTTGCATGTCGGAACTGGTGCAGTTCCTGTCGATCGAAATGTAACTGAAGCCGACATTACAGACGACATGCGCATTGAACACATTGAACATCTGCGTAAAGTAACACTACCAGCACTACGCGCGAAGAACTGGCTGATAAATCTCCCTAAGTGTCAACTAGTTGCGACCAGTGCACCGCTTCTGGGCTACAGAGTAGGCCTAGGTGGCTGGAGTGTCACCCAGAAGAAGAAATCACTAGTGGAAGGCTTGCGTGAGCCGACTACTATCGAGGACGTCGTGTCGTACCGTTGTCTGGTCAACTGGCTCGGAAAGCGAATTCCGTTTTTTGCACCGTTGTCCTTCCACTTGAATAAGTACTCCAGGAAATCCGCCAAGTTTGCGGATTACATCAAGGACAAGGAAGCGCAGGGTGCTGTTAAGTGGACTAGGAAGCTGCTATCGACGGTGTCGTTTAGACCTCCTACTGGTAGTGGTGCACTCAACTGCTATGTGGATGCTTCCGACTATGGCTGGGGATACATCCTGGTGGAAGAGTACGATGACTCCAACGTAGAAGCTCGCATTTGTGACGTCGGTCATGGCACGTTTTCGGATTCTGAACTCTATTGGACAGTCACCGAAAAGGAGTCGTATGCGGCTAAGGCTGCAATCGAGGGAACGCGCGTTCTTGTTAACGGACGGAAGTGCAGCTTGCTCACGGATCATCAGGCTAACACCTTTCTAGTAGATCTTAAGAATAGACGAGTTTTGCGCAAACATGTTGCCTGGGCAATCCATTGCGACGAAATCGGTCCCAATTACGAGAAGCATTATCTTCCTGGTGATGTAAACGGGGCGGCAGATTTCTTTTCCAGATATCCTGCACAGGGTCGCGACGACCGACCGGATATTCTTGCGCCATTGTCTCCGGTACGACGAGCGATGCTACGGTTTTTCAAGATTTCCCTCACCGATGACGAGGCCGTCGAACTAACCAAACTCATACCGAAAAGGGATGACAAGGTAGCAAAGAGAGGACTTTATGAACGACGCCGCGACATGGATGCTGGGAAAGGAGAAGAGACACAGTCTCAGAAGGGTAACATCACGGCGGCCGTCAACATGATTGCGGAGAGTAGACGTGGAGAACTAGTAGTGCAGGACACGTTTCAAGTCCTTCTTGAACATCATCGATGTGGGTTTATCGGTTGCAATGGAGAAGATGTTCTTTATCCGTCGACGCACGATCTTTTCCTACCAGGCACGGACGGTGAAAATATGGTTGCTGCGGTTAAGAGCTCACGCTCGCATCGCATTTCAGCACGGGACCGACTGCCACGGTCGAAGCACAAGAGAGTAAGGGCGTATTTGTACTACAAGAACGACGGAAGTAACACATCAACGTACCACGTGAAGTACACTTCTGAAGTTAAATCTACGAATGGACAGCCACGTGCCAACGTGTACTTCTCGGGTCAGGCGTTGGGTGGGTTGCGCGCGCTACTCTATGCAGGACAGGCACTCAAGAATGTGCGGACTTTCAATGAGGAGCGGGCCAACTTCCTTAAACTATTGCGGGAGGAGGTTGGTCGGACATCGGAGATCCACTGGTATGATGACGACTATGAACACTTGGATGCTGAATTCTTTCAGCTCATCGATGGAATCGATACGGCGGATTGGACCACTAGCTCATCAAGCACATCGAATGATGCGATCAGCAAGCCGAGATCTGGAGCGCAACCACTCGTGAAAGCATCTTCTACAGCAGCAGCTTCTTCGTCGGTCGAAAGTGGTTCGGAGTCACGAGGACGACAGAATCAAGTAGAAGCACCTACGCGATCCAACGACGAAAACAAACCAAGCGAGGAAGAGAACGATTTGTTACCGGAAGATCTGGCAGAAAAGCAGAAAACGACGGATGATTCTGGCAAACAGAGTTGGTATGTGAACCAAACCGCGCATGTATTGGAAGAGGTGCAGGAGCTTTTCGATTTGAATCTGGAAGTACTTCGAGGTGAACAGGTTGAGTACTTGAACAACGCCACACAACTGGAGAAGACGAATCATCTACGCGAGGAAAAAACGGGTCTTCATTTTCGTCGTGTTTTTGATGAGAAACGCCTTACGTATCGCTATGTGCTATCGGTGCCGCCGACTAGTTCACAGATGGCGAAGGTGCTTCTTTCGGCGCACAACGACATCACGCTAGGAGCACACAGAGGCGTAGATGCAACATACGATTTGCTCAGGAACGTGGTGTACTCGAAAGGATTGTCGAAAGCGGTGAGGAAGTTTGTAAAGAAGTGCAAAACGTGCAGGGTCACTAAGATCGGTCACCAGCCGGAAGCAGCAGGTTCGTACAGAACGGTGCCAGATCTTTTCCAAGACATCCAAATCGAATTTGTGGGTCCGATCACTCCGGAGAGAGAGGGCTTCAAGTACATACTAACGATGTCGTGCTCACATTCAGGGTATTGATTCTTCACATCTACTACTGATGCTACGGCGGAATCTGCAGCGCGAGGACTACTTGACGAGGTCATCTTTAATGTGGGCAGGCCACGAGTCATCCGATCTGATCGTGGCACTCACTTCACAGCCGAGATCACTCAGGTGCTTGCTAAGTTGACCGGATCGAAATGGCGCTTAGCGAGTGCTTATAACCCTAGGACGCAGGGCATGACGGAGCGGCCACATCGCACAGCGTGGCAGACTATCAGGTCCTATCTGCAGACTTTGTTTGTGGACCAAGGGCGAGCGAAGTTCAGTAAGTGGTCACAGCTTGTTAAACCTGCTCAGTGGGCGATTCGATCCGCACCACGGTTGCAGCTAGGGATGATCTCTCCATTCGAGTATGTTACTGGGAGAAGACCAGTAGATTTTTCTGTAGTAGATACAACAGCACACACGTCGGTCGAAAAAATCATGATGGATCGTCTTCATCGGATGCAACAAGTCTACAACCGCGTCAAGAATGAATTGACGGAACAAGCTGAACAGAGTACCAAGGATGTCGTCCGATGGGCGCCGAAGACTCGATGTCTGGTACGTTTAGCACCAAATGAACAGATCAAAGAGGTGCACCAGAATTTGCAGCCTCCTTATGAATTTGCGACTTTGTTAGAAGATTACGGTGATGCTGCGTTGATTGAGTTTGATGGTACGAAAGAGACGAAAAAGATCAATAAGCGTCGCTTGATCAAGGTTGAAACTCTTCTTCAGTAAATTGCAGCTCCTAAAGAAAATAAAGTTAGGATGAACCTTTGAGGAAGTTGGATTGATTGGACAAGTTCACAGAATGGGAGGATCATGTTGGTCAATCGATGAAGTGTTTGGTACTACGAACGAATCACAAATAAAGTTGCTTCGAAGTGTGAAAATGAAGAAGCATGTGGATCACAGTATATTGGGAAGGTTCATATCATGAATTTAGAGGTTGCTAGTTCTACTTTTGCGTTAGGACGATAGAGTCATAGGCGTCATAGATCATGAATCATGAAGTTAAGTTCTGCTTATCCCAGAAATCACAGGCTGAGAGAGGGGCACGAATATAGAAACATAAACGCAGGGTTGCTTACATTGGGAGGATAGAAGTAGGTAGTCATGGTTTCTTTGGAAAAGGATTTGTACAAAGTATCTCGGTTGTTTCTTACGCTTGAGGAGATTGATCAGCTTATGTTCGAACATCCCATTGATGAACCAGATGCGTTAGGTTCTGCTACTAGTTTTAACGAAAGCGACGAGTTTTGTTTACTGGTTAACGGGGATCCACTGCCTTTTGTGATGTCCATAACAGATGAACCATTGGGAATCATACCGGGCAAGCATATTTTGAAAATCATAGAACATATGCATGAGAAGTTGGGTACGGAATATTTTATTTTAGAGGTTAAGTTTTTGAAGGTGACTGAGCACGAAGTAGAGCCGGAACGGGCGCGAGTTCACTATGAGCATAGGCATAATATTGTAGTAGTTTAAACGACGTTTAACATAGGTGGCCTAACTAGTTGTTGTCGTGTTGTATCCAATGGAACTGAGGTGTTACATTCATCATGCCGTTTCAGCCGAATAATAACGCATTTGAGATTATTTCTGTTAGGATCAGTCCTGTTCTCTTTACTGAATACGCTAACTCTCGCGGAGGGCTAGTAGTCGATCCTGTTAACGGTCAGAAGGACAAGTGGCAGGTAAAAGGGAAAAGGGTGTATTATCGGAATAGTGCTAATGGTACTATCTTGGTCAGATCGGATAAGTTGATGTATGATGTTTGTTTGTATTTTTTGTCAGAGAGAATTGTTCCTCTTGCGAGCCTGATTGTACATTTGAGGTGCCAGAATACCTTACGAAGACATAGGAGCATCACAATAAAGCGAAATCATTTAAAAAACATATCTATGAGGCAGTGGTCTTTCTTTTTCTTTGATGATTAAGGAGTAGATCAGAATGTCGGCAAACACACCAACATCCGCTGGCGTGCCTTACAGCGTCAGCACATTTCCCGGTTATCTTCAGTCCGATGTGGCTACTAAGTTGTATCTCAAATTTCGTGTAAGCTTTGAAGAGGAGGTGATTAAGTTGTTGAAGGAAAACATTGATGAGTTACAAATTGGAGCACACGGGCATACGCCGTCTCGGGGTGAGGCGAGCATCTGGGTCCTGACTGATCAGGTGATGCTGGCTCTCAGGCGTCGTGATAAGTACGAATTCCTCAACGATTCGGAACTGCGGGATGTATTGTTGAGTTCTATCATTTCCTTAGGGGAGAAAAAGCGACTGCAAGTGTATTATTTGCGTGTGGGGCAAGTTACTCACCGCACTAGACCTATCAGTTTTTGTCTAAACAAGGTGTTACCGAAAGGGGAGGCCACCAGCTCTTCTTCGCTTCATGAATGAACAACAGCAAGCAGGTAAGCATACCAGGCAAGGGGTCGCTACCGGTTACTGTTGATACGATAGGCAGTTGATGGGAGGATTAGTAGGTATTACAAAAGAAGGGCTTTATGAAGCATATAGATAGTAATGTTACGGATAGGTTGTTTGTGGGAAGTATAGATAAGATAGGACTCGTTGAGTCAAAGATTATTAGACTCGGGATGTTTAGCCACGGATTGACATTTATCGCTCGTTGATCCCTTGGGGTTTCTGATGTGCTAGTTGCTTTTCGATGGTCTGCTCATTTTCGGGTTATGGGTCTTTTCTCGGTTGGTTAAACATAGGCGGTAATTGAGCTACAGCACACTTTCAACATGGTGCACTGTCTTAAGTTTGTTAGTTTTCTTGGACGGTTTCGTTACTCTTTTCACCTTTGGTAATGTAAGTCAGTCTTTGTTTGCAGTCGTTAAGGGAGGATGTGAGGATGTTGAAGGCCTATAAGAGCATCTTCAGGGAAGGAGACCAAGTCATGTGTCCAGTTTCGTTCACGGTTAACTTAGTCACTGTGATTAACGACTGCCAGGGAGGATGGTTGTTGTATGACAGATAACTAAGTAAGGAGAGTTACTAAGTTGAAGTGGCAGTCGTTATCGCAAACCGTGAAACTCAAACTGTGGCCTTGACACGAGAGGAAGAGAGTATCGTTTGTCGACTCTCAAACAGGTCTGAAAGATGCTTGGACATGTACTAATGATCACTGAAAGACAATG